AGCCACTGCACTCCAGTCTGGGTGACAGAGTGAGACTCCAACTCAAAAAAATAAAAAATAGACAATAAATCAAAAATTTGCTGGGCATGATGGTGCACGCCTATGGTTTCGGCTACTTGGAAGGCTGAGGCAGAAGGATCACCTGAGCCCAGCAGGTCGAGGCTGCAGTGGCCCTGAGTGGTGTGCCACTGCACTCCAGCCTGGGTAACAAAGTGAGACTCCAACTCAAAAATAAAAATAAAAATAATTAGCCAGGAGTGATGATGCACGCCTGTGTTTCCAGTTACTTGGAAGGTTGAGGCAGAAGGATGACCTGAGCCCAGCAGGTTGAGACTACAGTGGCTTTGAGTGTACCACTGCACTCCAGCCTGGGTGACAGAGTGAAACTAACTCAAAAAAAAAAAAATTATTTCTGCTAGCATATGATTCTTTTTTTTTTTTTTTTTTTTTTTTGAGAAAGGATCTTTCTCTATTGCACAGGCTAGAATGCTCAACACAGCCTCAAACTACTGGGCTCAAGTGATCATGGCTCAATACAGCCTCAAGCTACTAGGCTCAAGTGATCCTCCCACCTCGGCCACCCAAGCACCACCACACAAGCTAGTTTTTCATTTTTTTTTTTTCAGTTAGGGTTTCACTCTGCCACCCAGGCTGGAAGACAGTGGCATGATCACAGCTCACTGCAGTCTTGACCTCCTGGGCTCACACAATCTTTCCATCTCAGCCTCCCTAGTAGCTGGGACTAGAGGCACACACCATTATACCCAGCTAACTTTTTTATATATATTTTTGTTTTTAGAGATGAGGTCTCATTATGTTGTCTAGACTGGTCTCAAACTCGTGGGCTCAAGATGTCCTCCTGCCCTGGCATCCCAAAGTATTAGATTACAGGCATAAGTCACAGTGGAAAGGCCCAGCTAATTTTTTTATTTTTTGTAGGGGCAGGATCTCACTGTGTTGCCCAGGCTGGTCTTGAATTCCTGACCTCTAACGATCGTCCTGCCTCAGCCTCCCAAAGTGCTGGGATTACAGGTGTGAGCTACTGTGCCTAGCATTATTAGCATAATTTTAATGTTTTTTTTTTTTTAGTTGGAGTCTCTGTCACTCTGGCTAGAGTGTGGTGACATGCTCACAGCCACCGCAGCCTTGACCTGCTGGCCTCAGGTGATCCTTCCACCTCAGCCTTCCAAGTAGCTGGAACCACAGGCACATGCCACCATGCCTGGCTAATTTTTTGATTTATTGTAGAGTCGAGGTCTCACCAAGTTGCCCAGGCTGGTCTTGAACCCCTAGATTCAGGCAGTCCTTTCTCCTCTACCTCCCAAAGTGTTGGGATTACAGGCATGAGCCACCACACCCGGCTTTAATTTAATTTAACTTAACTTATTTTTGAGTTGTAGTCTCATTCCGCCTCCCAGGCTAGAGTACAGTGGCCCACTCCTAGCTACCCCAGCATCGACCTGCTAGGCTCCAGTGATCCTTCTGCCTCAATCTTCCAAGTAGCCAGAGCTACAGGCACGCACTACCACACCCAGCTAATTTTCCATTTGATTTATTGCAGAGGCAAGGTCTTGCCAAGTTGCCCGGGCTGGTCTCAAACCTATGGGCTCAGGCAATCCACTCACCTCAACCTCCCAAAGTGCTGGGATTACAGGCTGAGCCAGCGAGCCCGGCCTTTAATTTTAATTTAAGTACTTTGGGAAGCAGAGGCGAGAAGATTGCCTGAGTCCAGAGGTTCAAGACCAGCCTGGGCAACATGGCAAGACCTCGTCTCTACAGTAAATAAAAAAATTAGCCAGGTGTGGTGGTTCATGTCTGTAGTTCCAGCTACTTGGAAGGCTGAGGTAGAAGGATCACCGGAGCCCAGCAGGTCGAGGCTGCAGTGGCCATGAGCATGCTACTGCACTCTAGCCTGGGCGACAGAGTGAGACTCCAACTTAAAAAAAAAAAAGCACCAGGCTCGGTGGCTCAGCCTGTAATCCCGCGCCTTTGGGAGGCTGAGGTGAGTGGATTGCCTGAGCCCTCAGGTTCGAGACCCGCCTGGGCAGCGAGACCTTATCTCTACAATAAATCAAAAAATCAGCCGGGCATGGTAGCGCATGCCTGTAATTCCGGCTACTCGGAAGGTTGAGGCGGAAGGATCGCCAGAGCCCAGCGGTGAGGCTGCGGTGGCCGGGAGCGGCCACTGCACTCCAGTCTGGGTAACAGAGTGAGACTCCAACTCAAAAAAAAAAAAGTGCCAGGCTCGGTGCCTCAGCCTGTAATCCTGCGCTTTGGGAGGCTGAGGTGAGTGGATTGCCTGAGCCTGCGGGTTCGAGACCCACCTGGGCAACTAGTGAGACCTCATCTCTACAATAAATCAAAAATTAGCCCAGCGTGGTAGTGCGCGCCTGTAGTTCCAGCTGCTTGGAAGGCTGAGGTGGAAGGATCGCCAGAGCTCAGCAGGTTGAGGCTGCAGTGGCCGGAAGCAGCCACTGCACTCCAGTCTAGGTGATAGAGTGAGACTCCAACTACAAAAAAAAAAAAAAAGGAGTGTTTTCATTCTCTATTTTTTTTTTAAGCAGGAGTTTTAAATTGCCTGAGCCCGCGGGTTCGAGACCCACCTGGGCAACTTGGTGAGAACTCATCTCTACAATAAATCAAAAATTAGCCGGGCATGGCAGCGCGTGCCTGTAGTTCCAGCTACTTGGAAGGCTGAGGCGGAAGGATCGCCAGAGCCCAGCAGGTCGAGGCTGCGGTGGCCGGGAGCGGCCATTGCACTCCAGTCTGGGCGACAGAGTGAGACTCCAACTCAAAAATAAAAATAAAATAAATAAATAAATAAAGCAGGAGTTTATTAAGAAGACAAAAAAGCTCCCAAGTGGGAGGGGACCTGAAAAAGGGTTGCCCCTCTATTCATTTTTATAGCTGCTTCTTGTTCTTTCACTTGCAATGTCTTTCCTTATTTACCTGAGAACAGCAATAACTTATTTGGGTTTTTTTTTAATTTTCTTCTCCCAGTATGGTCTCTTGTTGGCTTATACAAGACATAGGGATCACAAATCTGACTGGTAGCTCTGAGCACATGGGTGAGGGGCTTATTGACTGTGACAACAAACCAGGACAGGGAGGGACATGGGGGAAGCCCACTCCCCAGGGAGATCCATTTCTTGGGGGATGAGAATAGACAGCTGAAGAATCCATAGGACAATGTGGCTGGGCCACTTTGTGGATACCCCTCTCTATGAGCACCTTCAGGTCCTTCCTCTGAAGAAGACACTTTCAGCCTCTTGCCAGCATCCTGGGAGAGAGGCTGATGTCTCAGCACCCAGTGACTGTTTACTTAATCCCTCCAACTTTCTCAGTATGGTCTCCCACCCTCAACACAGCCTTCTGCCAGAATGGGAAAAGAAATATAGGAATCAGAGCCACAGCAGTGCATACTGATTGGCTCAGAATTTTGAGCAAACAGAGCCCAGAGCAGCAGCCCTACCCAGCATCCATTTCTGAAACAGCCTCTCCAGCCTGGTTGGTACCCTCCCCATTCAACTGTGTGGCCAGAGTTATCTGGTATCTCCAAGCCCTGAGTTTTTAGAATCTCCTTTGTAATGAAAATGTGCCTTTTCTTTGTAGCAAGGGAGGTATTTGTAATTGTTCATCATGAGGATATTTTGAACAGCCAATATATTCATATGCTTGAAAATTCAAAAGGCACAAGACAGTATACATTGAACTGCTTCCAGCGTTACCAGTTTTTTATGTCTTTCCAGAAAGAGTGTGCACATAGAGAGCCAAACACATATACAGACACTTGCTCATTCCCTTTTTTTTTTTTTTTTTTTTTTTTGAGTTGGAGTCTCACTCTGTCACCCAGGCTGGCATACTCCCAGCCACTGCAGCCTCAACCTGCTGGGCTCAGGCAATCCTTCCGCCTCAGCCTTCCAAGTAGTTGAAACTACAGGCATGCACCACCATGCCCAGCTAATTTTTTTTTTTTTTAGTTGGAGTCTCACTCTGGCGCCCAGGATGGAGTACAGTGGCAAACTCCTGGCCACTGCAGCCTCGACCTGCTGGGCTCAGGCAATCCTTCCACCTCAGCCTTCCAAGTAGCCAGAACTACAGGCGCGTGCTACCATGCCTGGCTAATTTTTTAAAATTTATTGTAGAGACGAGGTCTCGCCAAGTTGCCCGAGCTGGTCTCAAACCCAGGGGCTCAGGCAGTCCACTCGCCTTGGCCTCCCAAAGTGCTGGGATTACAGGCTGAGCCGCTGAGCCCAGCTAATTTTTGATTTACTGTAGAGATGAGGTCTTGCCTAGTTGCCCAGGCTGGTCTTGAACACCTGGGCTCAGCCACTTATCTTACCTCAGCCTCCCAAAGTGCTGGGATTATAGGCATGAGCCACCACTCCTCATGAGGGAAAGGGTCCTCATTCCCCTTTTTTAAAAAACACACGTGGGCCAGCCCCCTCGGGTCCCTTCCAGTTCTGAGAGCTTTTCTGTCCTCTCAATCAATCCTGCTTTCTCAAACACACACGCGCACACACGTGGATGCTTAATCTCCACCCTGTTCCACACCTGGCATTTTTTTGTGTGTCTTCCCACTTCAATTCACACCAGCAAGTGCCCTATGTCTTTGGACGGCTGCATAGAGCTCCACTGTGACTCATTGTGGACACACCATTGAGAAACCCTGTACATTGGTCATTAAGCACAAGGAGGAACACAACTGTTGAAGAAATACCCAAAGTGGAATTACTGGGTCAAAGTGCAGGACATTTGCTGTTTTGATGGATTTTGCCACATTGGCTTTCCATTTATGCTCACTAGCAATGCATAGGAACAGTGAAGATAGGGAAATGGTGGGTTAATTCAGCCCTGATGTGCATTTTTCTTATTAGGAGGAGGCCAAGCATATTTTTATGGGATTTAAGCATTAGTTACATTTCCTTTCTTGTTCATATCCTTTGTTCATGTGTCTATCAGATTATTGGTCTTGTTGATTTATTGAGGCTCTTTACTAGAGAGGTTAATTAGCCCTTTGCCTCTGGAGAGTTTTTCAGTTTGTTGTTTGTCTTTTTGATTCTGAGCTGGTTTTTGCTGACTTCCCTTGATGTAGTCTAACTCATCTGACTTTTCTTTGTGGCTTATGGATTTTCTGTCACCCACTAAAGCCCTCACTACTCTCTCAGTCTTAATTTAGCCTCCAGGCCTCCTCCTTTTCCAGTCCCTGCTCCTTGGAGCAATTGCTGATGCTTCCTTCCTCACCCAGCCTCTAATGCTGTAATGCTCATAGTGTAGCTGTCTTTCCCCTGGAGACATCCACCCTTGTGTTGATCACACGCAGGCCCATGGCTCTGTGTGCCATGTATATGTTCCGAAGCCCCTACTCATGTTTCCCCCTGCCTGGAGTCTGCTTCTCGGATACCCCACAGACATCTCAAGCAAGGAGCATCCAAACCTCAGACCAGAGTCCAGGGGCCTACATTCCCTGCCCCCTCATCCCTTCCTTTTGGCTACGCCTCCTTCCGTGAGACCCATCCATGTCCCTGCATTTGCAGAGACCATCATCACCCACCTAGACAGTGCAAGAGCTGCATGACCCACTATTGCCCTACAGCCCTTCCAGAACAAAGTACTTTGTTCCAACACAAAACCCAGAAAGTTTTCACACAGCCCAGCCTTCCTACTCATGCTGAGCTCTGTCCTATTGTCACCTCCTCAGGAAAAGCTGCACAGATAGAATCCCTGCCCTTGCCACCTCCGTCTGCCTCAGTGGTCAGTTTCAGGTCCCCCTAGGTCACACTGTGCCCCCAGAGCTGAAGTGGGTCCTGGCACAGCGGGCACTCTGTAATGAGTGAATGGGGCCCCTTGTGCACACAGGGTTTGCACTCCAGATGGACAGCGTCTCCACGGGCCTGGGTAATGTAAGCCCCCACCTCCACATCCCATGGGACGTCAGCGTGGCTGGCCTCTCTGGCCGAATTCAGTCACCCTCCTGCGAAGGGAACTTTGCGCATGCGCTCCCGCTCCCCAGCGGCCCAAGAAGTGAGCAGGACCTCACAGACGAGGATCCTCGCCGGGGCGTCGGCCCTGCGCTGGTCACGGCCCGCTGGCGCACCCCCAGGGGCCGGAGCAGGGGCCGGGGCCGCCCCAGCACTGGTGCTGGGGTGGCTAGAGGCGGCCGCTGCGACGTGTGTGGCAAGGTGTTCAGCCAGCGAAGCAATCTGCTTAGGCACCAGAAGATCCACACAGGCGAGCGGCCGTTCGTCTGCGGCGAGTGCGGCCGCGGCTTCAGCCGCAGCTCGCACTTGCTGCGCCACCAGCTCACCCACACCGAGGAGCGGCCGTTCGTGTGCGGCGACTGTGGCCAGGGCTTCGTGCGCAGCGCGCGCCTGGAGGAGCACCGGCGCGTGCACACAGGAGAACAGCCCTTCCGTTGCGCAGAGTGCGGCCAGCGCTTCCGGCAGCGCTCCAACCTGCTGCAGCACCAGCGCATCCACGGCGACCCCCCGGGCCCCGGCGCCGTGCCCCTGGCCCCTCCCGGCGCGCCCGAGCCCCCGGGCCCTTTTCCGTGCAG